GAGACAGCGTCTGGCTCTGTTGCCCTGGCTAGAGTGAGTGCCGTGGCGTCAGCCTCGCTCACAGCAACCTCAAACTCCTGGGCTCAAGCGATCCTCCTGCCTCAGCCTCCCGCTGGGACTACAGGCACACGCCACCATGCCTGGCTAATTTTTTCTATATATATTTTTAGTCGTCCAGATAATTTCTATTTTTAGTAGAGATGGGGGTCTCGCTCTTGCTCAGGCTGGTCTCGAACTCTTGACCTTAGAGATCCACCCGCCTCAGCCTCCCAGAGTGCTAGGATTACAGGCGTGAGCCACCGCGCCCGGCCTGAAGAATGACTTTTTAATCAAGACAGGACTGGCAGATTACTCGGGGCAATTAATTGCCCTTGAGAGAACTTGGACGCAGCTTTGAGAGACTGGGGTGATGTGCACTGAGCGGGCTAAGCAGCGTTACTGGTAGAAGCCAAGGGAGAACCAGGAATGAGGGTAAATGCCATAGATGCCTGCCACCGCTAGGGGCTTACCTTGAGGGTGGGGGGGATGGTGTACTTTCTGGAAAAAGGAATACAGATGCTACCACTTGGTTGTGGGTTAAGTTTTTACTATTCTTCCAGCCACTCCCAAACCCCACATAGGAATCAACTCTCAGGCCAGGCAGTTCGGAATCCCCAGACTAGCTCGGGAGTGTCCCAGAAAGCAAAGCCCAGTGCAGGCAAATAGTGGGCACAGGGGCCCATAAAAAATAGAAGACATGGTCCATGTCCTCAAGGATCTTGTTGTCCAGAAATGGAGAGGTGTGATCCAGAGGGTCACTCCCACAAAGACATCCCGTGTTTTGACTAAGATGCTTTAGGCCACAGGGAAAAGCCAGCTATTTGCAGTATTTGAGTTTTCAATTCTTTACTCCAGTGGTGTTTAAACCACTGGGTGCCCAGAGAAATTGCCTAAGAAGCTTCAAACACACACCACCCGCGCCCCCCCCCCCAATGTGGCAGGACCCCATCCCTGGAGAGTTTGCCTCTGGGGTTTGGGATGGGACCAGAGTATTAGTAAGCTCTCTCCTGCCTTACCAGCCTGCCCATAAACAGACCAGCACTTGCCTCGGACCTGCAGGTATCTGCTGCATGGCCTTTTTTAGTCCTTTGTTCAATGTCAGACACTGTTACCCTTTTGGGGACAGCTCTGTGCTGACCACACGGTCTAGGCTGGATTCCTTCTCCATCGGGAGCAGGGAGGTGGCCCACATAATGAGGTAAATGAAAAAATAAAATCTGGGGCAGCTGAGCCAGGGCAGGCGGTTTACATTGTTTACACATATATAGTTTCCAAAGATTCTGCAGGGGTAAAGCTAAAAAGTGGTCAATCTTGGGTGTTCTGCCATTTCTGACTGACTGCTCCTTTTGAAAGAAGTCAACCTATCCCAGAGAATAGAGTTACCCCTGAATGTAGCATGCCCTAAAAAAGTGTTTCAACAAAATCATTTTACTTTTAGTTTGGAGAGTTTCTGGAAATAGAAAGATCTTTCCCATGGGGTTGAGGGAAGGGGGAGACCCAAAAAACATCCTTAAAAGAAAGGAAATGGTCTTAATGTTTCAAAAGATCAGGAAGAAGTGGGGGGAAGTGAGAAACCAAGCTTGATGCATGTGAAGAAATTAAATAACTCCTCACATCTTAGAGCAGATTGAATTTATATTTTACTTAAAAAAGGGGGGGGGTGAGGGAGTACATACACAAGGAGGAAAATGGGGTGGGGAACAACAATGATCTGAAATGGATTTCTATGATTTTCCCCTACAATGATCGATTTTGTCTGTTGGGCAGTATTTCTCCCGCTGGCGTACAGTTGCTTACAATATTAACGAGGTTGTAGACAAGGGAACTGCCAAAGTTTAGGCCCGAATGGAAGGGAGAGTAAGTTATCATATACAATGTAAGTTTACAATACACAGCATTTTCTTTAAATGATGTAACGCAGTCGCAGGAAGAAGTTAACAATACTAACACGAGAATAATCAAATTTTTGTTTGTTATCCATGTACAGCAACTAACTGCTTTACAAAAAAGCAAAATAATACAATATATCATCACATGTATTTACAGTGTAGTAAATATACTTTTCTGTCAAATTTTACACAAACTATTTACAGGTGAATATACTGCAATAAAAAAAATTGTGTGGCTGACACTAAGAGTGAATTTTTGTATAAGTCCATTGCATAACATTGAATGAGACATGCCTCATTATGCAGGGGAGGAGGGGTGGAGGGAGGGGAGATGTAGAAACAACCCCCCCACCCCAAAATAAAAAAAAAAACAAAGAAAAACCCCAAATGAAACTGAAAACCTACAAATCTGGGAGGGTGGCTGGCTTGCACTCTGCCTTCCCCACTAGGACATTGGTCCACGGGGGTGGAGCGGACCGTTCACTGTGGTGTCCCCAGCACTGGGCTCCACACCGAGGAGGTGCTGGGTGAACGGAAGACAGAGCTCTAGCCACTTCCCCTCAAAGCTAGTGAACTGCATCTTGACCTTGGCAAACAAGGGCATGCCCTTAGGACAGGAGGAGCACTGGTGTTAACAGGTAGATTACGCAAGACAAAAAAATGACTGAGTTACTGTTCTCCTCTTTAAAAAGTCAGGGGAAACATCCACAAACCCAAAACAAATTACTTATAATATTCTTTACAGAGCTTACATCAAATTATACAAAATGGGCAACTTGCTCTCAACTTCAGAATTTCTTTTGTAGATTACAGGTATGAGAACTAAAAAAATCTTTCATTTCTCAGGGGACACATAATGGTGACAGATTTATCTCATGTCCATTTTAGTTACTCGGAAAGCTAGATTTTCCTCAAAAGTTGGAAGTTCTTTAAATAAGGTAAAACTTAAACCTTAGTATGTTTTCAAATTCCTAGGATGTACTGGTCAAAATTATTTTTGCTGTTCAAAGGTGGCTCAATTTTGATTTGTACAATGCTGACCATTTCATGAGGTATGAAACAGCATACCTTGGTAAACTTTTAATGGAAAGATCAATATTTTTTAAACAGTAAACTTTTGGAAGTTTCTCTATTTTGATGGGAGAAGCAAAATAGCGTAACACCCACCATCATATGCACCAAACCAACAAATGAAAAGAGGAAAAACACTGAACCAAAACTATTAGAAGGCTCACACTGCCAGCTATGCCAGGAGCCAAGAAGCTGTGCCACCTATTCCGGAAGCAGGGAGCTGTGAGAAGAGCCGAGATACTGGCATTCTTGGCACTAGGTTACTGATCTGTTTCTAAACTCAGTTCTAATCTCTCTTTACCTTCTTAGTTGCTCTGTTATCATAAACACTTTCTTCTAATGCAGCCTCTACAAGAGTTAGAAACAAACATTTAGTTAATTGCACCTGTCTTCAATATTTTCCAACAATTCTATGCTAAAATCGCTATTAACACTAAGGTGTTTTTTTTCTTTTATTTTGGCAAATGATTTTTACTATTCCCAGAACTGTAAACAAATTAAAAAGATTAAGTTTTTGTTATTTCTGAATATCAAAAGAAATTTTATTTACATTAACATATTACATTGTTACTGTGTGGATAAATGTGAAATGTGTTATATTATTAAAATCAGAACACTTAAATGTACCATTTTTTATTGAGTTAGCTGTGGAATTTACTGAAATCCACCAGTGAAATAGCACTACAGGAAACTCCCCTCTTCCCTAGGTTTCTTTTTTCCCCTCCCAAAGTCATTATATTTTAACATACAAAGGGAACCTGGGAGTAGGGGGATATCTTTTGTAATAAATATGGTTTCATTCATTCTAAATTGGAATATCCAGATACTAAAGTCAAATTATTTTGCACACTGCAGGTACCACAAAGAAACTGGATCTGCATTACTATGGAAATTCCAACGCCAAGATAATCCATACTATTCAGTACAGCAGCAACTCTAAGGCCCCCTATTGTCACACTAATGCAGGCTGACCAGTCTTTTCACAGCGATTGAATGTAATTCTATCGTATAGAACCCAAATGTTTTGCTAAAGAGATTCTTGATTTTTTGGAGAAGAGGGGGAAAATTAAAGACATTTTAAAATATATCTTATCAAAGAAATTTATGATAATATACACCATACTCTATGTTTCATGGACAATTATTTAACAAAAGTATCAGCTACTCTAAATGTCACGTACCATTCCATTTTTCTATGGAGCTAATGTAAACATCTATGAAAATTACCTCCTGGGAACAATTTTCAACACTTTGTTCACTGATTACCCTGCTCAGAATTATTTAGAATGGAAGAGGAGGGAAAAATGTGTAACTACTATACTTAGTATAGTTTTGGCTTACAAAACACAAAGAAACAACTTTTAGCATATTTAAAGATTAAAAGATAATCGCCTGGAGAGAAAATTAATTAATTAATTTGGATGACTGAGTTGGGATAAGGCCTCAGAACTCGTAGCTTTAATTCACTAAGGTTAAGATATATGTGGTCATGCTTATTTTCCTGTCATTATTGCTAATACTCAAGTGTTAGTATTTCTTAAGAATCCACTAAAAATACTAAATCCCCTGCCCCCCAAAGTACCTCACCTGTGGCTTTATGGTGTCAAGTCACTGAGGCTTGACCTGTATGCTTCTTTCAGATTTGTAAAGTCAAAAAAAGTCCACAGCTAAAAGATTAAGCATACTGGGGTTATAATATTATTTTTCCCATAAACTTCTATCTTGAAAAGTGTGTAAATAAGACTAACACTTTACTTCATATGAAGAAGGGGAAACCAGAGAAGGCAGAGCTCTGTGCAAATGGCTTTCATAGACGACCTGTAGTAGCAGTATTCAAGAATTCATCCTCTCACAATCGGGATGTTCTCAGTTCAAGTTTCCTGACCTCCCACTTTCTTTGTAGTTGTTCTGAACACTTGCATACACCAGATACACGCCAAAAGTAGAAGGAAAAAAGAGTTAAAGAAAAAAAAGCAGCATTAAATTTAGGCAATGCTTCAGGAGTTGATCATCTGGCAACATGGCAGACCGGACGGGTTCGTTATAAAACAGGAAGTGCAGCATCACGACATGGAGGGATGGGGCAAGGCTAGGGAAGGAGTCACTAGTGAAGAGCCCATGTTAAGTTGGTTTAAAAAAAGAAAGAAAGCAAGCTTCACACGATCTTCTTAATGCTATTACGTTTGAAACTGCCAGCGCTTCTTTGCTTCTGCACTTGGCTTGCGGATCCGTGGCGAGTTCGTCCACTGTTACAGTGGCCAGTGGTAGGGGAGAGTTCAACGTTCTCCTTGTCGATTCCTGGAGAGAAACACAGCAACCAATTACTCCCTCTCTTCCGGTGTTAATTTCCAGGACTGAATCTCATTAAAGTCATGTGTTGCTTAACAACGGGAATACATTTTGAAAAATGATGGTCATTAGGTGATTTTGTCATTGTGTGAACATCAAAGAGTATACTTACACAAACCTAGACGGTATAGCTTATTGCATACTTAGGCTATACGGTATAGCCTATTGTTCCTAGGCTACAAAGCTGTCCAGCATGTTACTGTATTGAGTACTGTAGGCAATTGTAACATAGTGGTATTTGTGTATCTAAACACAGAAAGGGTACAGTAAAAATATAGTATTATAATCTTATGGGACCACTGTCTATATGTGGTCTGTCATTGAAACGTTGTTATGCTGCGCATGACTGTATTTGTATATGAGATACAACCTGGCGAATTGTTTTTGCAAGCTTCCTTTTAATAGTCAACTGTTAGAATGTTTACAAAGGCCCTGTCACACAGAAAGCCCCACATGTTGTTAGGGAAAATTTGCTGTCACAGCAGAAAATAGCATAAAGAAAAAAGAGAAGTTGCAAGGGAAAGCTAGAGGCAGGCAGGCTTGAACTGAATGAAAAGCTAGCAGCCACCAGGGAAGATCAGAGCTCTTTCCTCCAAATCATATCAGAAACTTCCAGCAGAGGTCAGCTTCTAGTCACATATCCTTACTCATGTTCATAAACAGAATATTCTCTCCAGCAGCAGAAGATACTGATCTTTCCAGCAAATTTGTCATTTCAAAGAAAAGGCAGATGCTTTTTATTTTTTTAATCACAGTGTCTGTCCCAAAGGAACTCACGTATTTACTGAGAATATATCACAAAGGTCATATTACAGAATCCTTGTTTCTTTTCAACTATGGCAAGTCATTTCACATTCTGCAAGCTTAAACAGATGCCACTTTTTTTCTCATAGAGCAGATTAAACCTCCAAAATCTAGGTCTTACAATGAATTTTATAAATATTCTAAGTAGTAACTTCAGAAAAGTAACCAGCAACAAAAAACAAGATATTTTTTACCCACCAGATTAGTAAAGATTACAAATCAGATAACAGAATAGTGGTTACCCTTGGGGAAGTGTTGACTGAGGGTGGCTTCTTGGGGTGCTGGTAATGTTCTGTTTCTTGATCCGGATGCAGGATTTTCAAGTGTGTTTACTTCTTAAAAGTTCATTAAACTATAAAATCACGATGTGGGTACTTTTCTATTTGTTACATGTCAATAAAATCTATCCCCCAAATTAAGATTGATTATATCCACTTCTAGCATAACTACTGGTGGGAGAGCAAATAGCTGAAGAACATTTTAGTAGTTTGTATCAAAATGTAAATTACTAATTGATACTTACTGATACAGAAACATGACCATAACTTTTAGAGTAGGAAAAAAATACTCATATACAGAGAGAAAAAAAAAAGGCTGAGAGAACATTTGCCAAAATAGTTTATCTCTGGATGGCATGATTTCAGTAGTTTTTATTTTATTCTTATCCGTACTATTTGCATTTTCAAATAATCATTAAATCTGAGAATGGAAAAATTTCCCTTTTTGGACAGAAAGTATACTTCAAGTCAAGAAGTAATCATTATGTTACAGAAAATGTACACATGTACATACATCCATCCAGCTATGTGTTGGTTCATGAACAGAAAATGAATTTGGCATCACCTCTCTCTAGGAGCCACACATCCTTCATTTGGACCCACCCCTGAATCCAAGGCAGAGTGCCAGGCATCGACGAGCACACAGCATGACTGACACAGGCTCAGCAGAGATTTGTTGTATTGAACTTATCAAAGGAACATGGGCATTTGTCAGTGATTGTTCACGAACATGTGCAATGGGCTAGGCATATGAGTGCAGAGTTAAAAACATCAGCAACATCTCTCCAGGAACCAAGCAGAGCTGAAAGAGCACCACGAATCTGTTCTACCCTAATCTAATCATATGCATAGAAAGATGAATAGAAGAAAATACATAATGTTCACAGAACTTTTTCTCTGTGTAACAGAATTCTGGACAATTTTTATTCTCTTCTGTGTATTCATTTGCATCTTCTCCAGAGCTATTTAAAAAAAGAAGTAACAAAATTGAAAGAAGGCTGCTCATAGTCTCTTGAATGCGCCTTGAACTTCTATGTGGTGTATGTTTACACAGGCTCTTTGAATTGTCTTGCCTATCTCTACAACCCATATTGTTTCTCATCTCTATTTCCTTCATAATACATTCTTCTGTCTCCTGCTAGAATTTTCTTCCTTCTTGCTTTTATATTTATTAACTTTTGCCTCTACTATCACAACTTGTATATGTATCTTATTTCCTCTACTAGAGTATAGAAGGGTTAAAATCATCTATTATTCATTTTCACTTTTCTATAAAGTCTAGTTGATTATTTTTTCTATAAATTGAAACATTATTTTCAATAAATATTGGTTGAATTGAATGCTGCCTTTTTTTTTTTTTTTTTTTTTTTTTTAAGAGACAAAGTCTTGCTCTGTTGCCCTGGCTAGAAGGCAGTAGCATCATCGTAGCTCACAGCAAGCTCAAACTCCTGGGCTCAGGGGATCCTCCTGCCTCAGCCTCCTGTGCAGCCGGGACTACAGGTACACACCACCATGCCTGGCTAATTTTTCTATTTTTTGTAGAGACCGGGTCTCACTCTTGCTCAGGCTGATCTCGAACTCTGAATGCTTCTATTTTAAAACGTAATAGCTGGATCCTTATAATTCAGAGCCCAAATGCATGCAACCCCTGATCTCCAGGGGGTAATATCATGTTTTTAGCAGAAAAGATAAAAATGTTTTCCCTCTCTGGTGTCCTCTGAAATTACTATGAACTTGTCAGTGTATTTGTTCTTCCATTTCCCTAAGTTTGCAGGTGGCCTGTAAGTTTCATCCAGTAGTTCTTTATCTTGGGGTTATTTCTTTAATAAGAAATAAGATTCAGACCAGGTGCGGTGGCTCACGCCTGTAATCCTAGCACTCTGGGAGGCCGAGGCGGGAGGATCGCTTGAGCTGAGGCGTTCGAGTTCGAGAAGTAAGATTCAAGCAAAACTAGAACCTTAGTCAGACAAAGGTTTGAAAAAACTTGGAGCTGGCCATCAGGAAGGGCACCTAGCATGGACGACCACTAGGAAGGCTCTGTGACTCTCTGCTAGCAATCTCCCACCCTAGGGCTCCTTCTTGTGTCTACCTTTGGTACAGCCTTGCAACTATTAGACTGGCTCACTCTGAGGGGAAAATAGCCATTACATTGTAAGGTGGCAATGCTTCTGCTTGGGCACAAAGGCCTGCTCAGTGGTAGTCTTATGAAGTAAAGTTACATAAATTGTAGTCATGTAGATTAAGTCAAAGAAGTGCTAAGAACATTCCACTTTCTGTTTTGTTAAGTAAATAACTCTCAAACCTCAAAATAAAAACTTGAAAGCCTTATTTGTATCTTGCTAAATGTTAAGGGTAAAAAGCCACAAGGTTGTTCATGTATTATGACCTCAACTATGTAAAAAAAAGACACTGGAGGGAGATTCATCAAAATATCTATCTTAGAGTGGTAGGATTACGGGTGATTTTTTCTTCTATTTTTCTGAATTTTCCAATTTTCTTCCTAATGAGCACGTTAATTAAAAATGTTAGAGTCTGACTGACTTGTCAGCCCTGTCACTCATAACCAAAAGCTTCAACGCTATGTAAAAGGTTGATGTTCTACTTCTAATTTCAAATTAAATTTTCATCTCAATTCTTGTTTTTGAATGTGTGTTTTCTTCCTACTTAGTGACCCAACTCTGTAAGTCACCTATAAGTAAATGTATGTGATTTCTAATTTCAACTTCACAGTAAAGATGTTTTTACTGTAAGGATCAAAGGAGAAACTGACATAAAAATCTTGGAGGGCCATTAAAAAAATAATTAAAAATGCATATATTTACACCGAAATATAGCATCTTGAAAGAGCCAAGTTAGTATGAAACCAAATGATCAGTCCAGGTGCCCTGGTTCACGTCTGTAATCCTAGCACTCCGGGAAGCTGAGGTGGGAGGATTGCTTGAAGTCAGGAGTTTGAGACCAGTCTGAGCAAGAGTAAGACTCTGCCTCTACTGAAAAACAGAAAAAATGTTAGCTGGGCAACTAAAAATAGAAAAAATTAGCCGGGCATGGTGGCACATGCCTGTAGTCCCAGCTACTGGGAGGCTGAGGCAGGAAGATCGCTTGAGCCTAGGAGTTTAAGGTTGCTGTGAGTTAGGCTGATGCCACGGCACTCTAGCCCGGGCAACAGAGTGAGACTGTCTCAAAAAAAAAAAAAAAAGAAGAAGAAACCAAATGATCATAGCATCTAGTTATGGCATTTCAGTTTCTAAGCATAATTCTCACTTCTGGGAATTTTGGCAGCATTCTTTGTTTTTATCCTCTAAAATTAAATCTAGAAATATCTCTAGGAGCTGGTAAAGGACTTCATCTCAACATTCTACAGGAAAAATTCAGATTATCAGCCAGACTGCTCCAATGGAGACGAAATCCATCCTGCATTGGTACATGCTATATTTTAAGTTAGTGAGAAAGCCTAGTGCTATACTTTTCATCAAAGCCCCTCTGAAGCTTTGCATTCTGGTCTCTCTTTTGTCCCTGAAGCACTGCTGGCTTTCCCTTTCCCTTTTCCTTCTGGCCCTAAGTGGGTACAAAAGCAAAAATCCACCAGGTGACTAACAGAAATGCAGAGGCTACCACTTGAAGGAAATAAAGCTAAAACTTCTGTGGACCTGATTTGCTAGTTTAAATTCCCCCACAGATATGCTGTGGTTAAACATGCAACCAGTTACAAGCAGGCAGGGCAGAAGCTGGAAATTCTCTACAGTAGTGTATGAACAGCGTTATGCTTCAGTGAGTTGTGGTGGCTCCATAAAAACAAAATCCTAAATAGAGGTGTGACTGGCCAAAATGTCATGAACTGAGTAAGTGGGGAAAAGAATGATTAGA